ACAGCTGTTTCCATGTAAGCATGGATCACTTTTGTTAATTTCCAATCCATGCATCTTATGTATTTTATATCGTTGTAATCTTTACAATTTTTATTATCTTTTGTTAAACAGCGCATGTATTTGTAAAAACCGTCACTCACAGAAATTATTAGACATCAGCTTTTTAAAGAAGCAATTTTTTACTCATATTTATAGAAAACTTTTTGTTCACAGAATCAAATTTCCTATAAAATTTCATAGTCTGTCCAATTCAGGCTCATCTGATATAAACAATAAGAGGACCTTTACTTAAAACATTTTCAAATGAAATAGGTATATGACCAACGTTCGCCAACATTAACAAATACGTAATTGTCTAAATTGAATATGGGCTAGAGAGTATTTAATGAATTAATGTGTGTAAAATTAGTATAAATATATGTTGGCCATCTCAATGGCGTCTGGAGGCCTTTAACGAAATTTGTTTATTAAAGAAGGTTCTGCTACCCGCGAAAAAAAAATTTTTATATTCTAAATAAAAGTCTTATAAGTTCTTTATAAAGATTCATCAAAATTCATATAAAGAATTTATAAAGTCTTTATATAACCTTATAAATAAATATATATTTTTAATATAGTTTTTATATTATAAACTGATTTAAGTTTAATAAGTCCTTATTAAATCTTATTAATGTCCAATTTATATACATTTAATTAAATCTTAATAAGTTTTAAATAAGTTGAATTAATATGTTTTAATAAGGTCTTAATAAGTTAAATTAATAACTTAATATGGATCATTATATGGTCCAAATTAAATCTATATAAGGTTTCGATAAAACCACATTTATTGGAATTGTTAATAAGTATTATATTAAATTTTAATAAAATTTTTATATTTAATTATATTAAATCTATATATATATTTTTTTTTCACGGGTATTCTGTTGTAACATCGAATTATCGTCATTTCGTTGCTTACATTTCAAATACCACATAGTGAGATTCTCTCTCTTATAACTGGATTGAAGTGGCGAAAAAAGTTTTCTCCAAGAAAACGGCTAGCTTTTTCTTCCAGCACGCGCGATAGGATCGAGCCAACTAGAACAGATTAAGGATATAGCGTTTGTTGTAGGCGCATACATCACGATGATGAGCCGTAACGAGTGCGTGTCGAGGTAGGGCGATCGTATACACGCGTGGATGGGGTACAACCCGTACGACAGGAGCGCGTTCGGAGTGCGTTCGCGCTCGCGCGCGATCGGCCGAGCGGAGTTGGAGGTCGGAGGTGTATATTGGCCATTTCCGCAGGAAGCCCTAGGTAACCTGTAACCGCCATTGAGTTTCCAACTCGAACGTGCTACGGATCTGTGCTATCGTCTCATAACGCGCGCGATAATCCTGCGCTCTGGATCTGCTCGTCGCCGCGCATATATCGCGCCCTCGAAACGCTATAATTGTCGCCGGTTCTTCGTCCCCGATCCCGATCTTTCCTGTAAACCGTGACGGAAATTCGCTTCTCCGTTCTCGATTTAACTGCGTCCTTCTCGTAAAATATAGATATTATGTCTTCCATTAGCAAAAAAAAATGAAATTGCACGGAATAAGCTTTGCTGAAATAATATTCAAAAATTTAGCGAGATATAGATCTGAAAATAATTCTGTTCAACTATCAAAATAAATATATGTATTATAGGATACTCAAACAAGTTAAATGTCGAATTCTCTAAATTTTCTGGAGTGGATTTCACGCCAGAAGAATGAGATTTAGAACGAAAATCCACTCCAAAAAATTTATAAAGGACCTTTTTGCTTACTATGCTTGATAATTTTTGGATATCTATCTAAATTTTTAGATACCTTAGAACAAAATCATTCTTTTAGAAATTCACTTGTTATTCCTATTATATAAGAATATATTGTTTATATTTCTATTGTCAGTAATATATTATATTGTTATATCCTTTATAATATGGATTAAAAAAAATAAGAAAACTCTTTATAGAAAAATTAAAATGTAATAAAATAATAAAAAGAGTCATTAACTGTGTTCGATTAAGAATATATTAAGATATACAATATATGCGCGGCGTATTATAATAATTGATATGATAAAATAACTAGAACAGTAATTTCGAGGACAGAAGAGAAGAGGAGAGGGATTGACTATAATAGACTATACAATTGGCGGATTAATTCACGGCGACTGTTTTGTTTTGCATGCAAAGCAATTGTCGAGTGAAAAGAGCGGCTTTTAAGCGCAAGTCGTCTAGACAACGCTAGTCCAGATCAACCCTGCTTTACTCGGTATACACCGATATATAATTCGGGTCTATTAGACCCAATAAAGTGTATATCAGAGAGGAGGAATGCGCCCCGAGCCAACGATACAGGCGATGTCCGTTGGGCCGTTCGTGCGCCAGAACGCACGACGCATATATGTGGGGTGCGAGTGAACACCTTAATTTAGATTGAACGTAGTTATCGGGACGATCATCGCTACGGATATACTACACGTTCGCACAAGAGGAAAGGCCCTTGAAAAGAATAACAATTGATCTTTAATTAAAAATCTGTGAAAAATGCATTTCAATTAAATATGCTACTCTTATGATAGATTCATTATATTTAATAAAGGTTTTTTGTTTATCAAATAGGACCTAATTAATATCTATTTATTAAATAATTAGATTAAATACAATTTTTTTAAAAAGAACCTAGTTATAAAGTTTTTTTTTCAAAATTTTTTAATGTTTTATTACAATATACTTTGTTACAGTACTTATTTTAAAGTAAGAATATACGAACAGATTAAGTGTCTTAATATTTACATATTTCAATTATTGTTATATGTCTTTATGCTAATTTGAATATTTTATTGTAATTAAAATTTGTTAGACATGTAAATAACGATTAATCTAAAATTTCTATATAAATTTCAGAATTTTTAAAAAATTTATAATTCATTTAGAAATTTTTTTAGACTTTTTATGAAAATTTTGTCCAGCCCAAACTATTGGGGGAAAATTTAGGGGATTTGCTTCTAGTTGTTAGAGGTTTTTGGGGTATTCTAAGTTTTACAGGACACCTTTCAAAATCACTTGGCAACACTGATCGTGAATCAGGTTAGTGCACGAGACAGAGGAGTGTACTTCGGAGCATTGCTTCGGAGGTATACACGAGATTCAAGATGGAAGACGGTGACAATAAAGTGGAAATCGAATTAGGTAAAGATAGGAAATCGTACGCCGGTATACCGGAGGCGGATTTTGTAGTAAGTGTGATTTTATTAATATTTATTCTATACATGTATGAGCGCGCTCACGTCATACAAATTTACAAAATTTCTATTATTCCCGTAACTCTTGAATTGTTCTACAATAAATCTTCGTTGATCGTTCTTTCCGCGCGAGAAAAATATTGTATTACTGTATAAGAACATTCAGAAGCAACTCTCACCACTTTTATTGACAGTTAAAATTCCATGTATATGCATCTGATTGATCAAGATGTCAATCGATTGATCGAACCTTATATGGCAACTTAAAAAAATCACACCGTTTTCTTCTTTTTATTCTTGTGAATTCGATTCTTTTTTCTATTTACTTTATTTTTTAGTTAATTAAGATATGATTCGTATGATTAAGTGGGTATTTACATTGCACAGAAATATTTTCATATTTGCCTTATTAGACCATTGATAATAATCTTTCTGTTAAATAAAAAACATACATGAAATGTATATATTTTACAATTACAAAATCGACTGAACTAAGTTTAAAATCTCACATTGAATCGTTCATTTGTCTCACAATTCAGGATGATGTCGAAGCTTTTATGGCAAAGCCAGAAAACGATTCTGTGGAGAAAGTACTCAGAAAGTTGGACGAGAGCCATGGAAAGTACAAGTTTATGGAATTCAACCTAGTCAACAAACGAAGACGCTTAAAATCACAAATACCAGATCTCGAAAGATCCCTAGAGATGATTGAGAAACTACAGATTGAGAAGAGTACCTTAGAAACGCAATTTTTATTATCAGAACAAGTTTATGCAAAAGCCATAATACCACCTACTGACAAAGTGTGTTTATGGTTAGGAGCTAATGTCATGCTAGAATATACCTTAGACGATGCCCAAGAAGTGCTGACCAAAAATATTGAAGCAGCCAAGAAGAATTTAGGATACGTAGAGCATGATCTAGATTTTGTTCGAGATCAATACACCACTGTGGAAGTAAATATGGCTCGTATCTATAATTGGGAAGTGAAGCGCAGACAAGCAGCAAAAACTACATGAAACGATCAATCTTACTCACACTCGGATCTGCCTAAGCCAAGAGGTAATGGTCTAAAAACATTTTTTCTACTTGGCTCACAATAAACCGATTTCTCTCTCTTTTGAACTTAATATTCGAATTCCTATTATTTTTCGTGTATCATGTTTTATGTATTTCAGAATATCTACTATATTATGAAGAATAAAATTCATCATGCAGCACTATCGAAATTCTTGGAAGACTCAAAAATTAAATTTAATTATAACTGTCTTCACATATTAATATTTATATATATTAAAAATGTCTATAAATTTTTGTAATCGATTCTAAAAATATTTTTTATCTGTCACAAGTTGGTTTTATTTGCATTACATCTATATTAAGTCCTAATAAAACAATTACACTTTGATTAAAACAAAGGCAATAAAGAATGTTATATTTAAGAATACATGTATTGTAATAAACGTAAAAGAAATATCTTTATTTGGATTCTCTGAGATCTGTTCTGTACAAACAACGTTTTACATTAATAATACACATGTCAAATACTTTACATGTAAATTTGTCCTTACAAAAAAAGAAATAATATGAAAGCTAACAGCAATTTTCTTAAATAAAAAACATGAATGATTATGTGTACAATGGAATGTTTACACAAGTAATTTATCTTATTCTAACTTTCATAAACGTCATATTTATTATTAAAGTAATGTAATTTTTATTATAGTAAATATAAGGCACATAGACTGACTTTAGAGAAGTCATTGTCCAAAAAAAAAAAGACTAGCGTGAACTTTAATCAAAGATATGTATCCATAATGATTACTCGGCTTTCGCTTCATCTGTTAGTTCATACTTTGCTAATTTTGATTGTAATTCGGCAATTTTAGCTTTGGATTCCTCTAATTCTTTCTTCAGACTATCAATTTCCGAAGTATTGTCCACAATACCGCCAAGATTCTTACGTATATATCTATAGCACATATAAGGAAATAACTAATGTTCTTTCGTAAAGCATATAATAAAAAAAAAGTAAATATTATACTTCTCATTTAATAAGAAAAATTTACAACAAATTAATATATCTCTTTCTACCAATATAGATTAATTTAAATGTCAGTTTAATTCATTCTTATTTTTTTTCAATTCTAAAAATTAGAAAAAGATAAAGAGTAAATTAAATCGTTTGATTAAAGTTGATTAAAGTTAACCTGCATTGGTAAAAGCAGACAAAAGATTCCACCAAGATTACTTTAATTAAATTCAATAAACATTATAGTTAATCTTATAAATTCTTAATTATGTATATTGGTGGAATTAGGGCTAAGTATATATGAATAAAAACTGAATTGTCTTGCTTTCTTGAAGTATCCTGAGTATCTTTGTTTTCAGATTGAATAATTAAGTTATATAACATTGATTCTTTGTTGAAAAAAAAAAAAAGAAAAGGATACTCTAAGGCATCAGATGGCTTCTCAGTCTCATCGTACAGTAAGACAAGTATTTTTGTGAGAGCATCCATGACACCAGATCTCTCCAGATACTTGCGAAATTCCTCTCGTTTGGCAGTGACTGACTATAAAGCAAAATGAAATTCATTATTCCACAAAAAAAAAAGGAAAATAATCAGTTGAATTAAATTAGTAAGTTATTTTAAACAGAAACATAAGGTTCATAAACTTGGTAAATAAAAATAAAATTTGTAAGAACTTAACTAGTGTTGTAATTTTATGTGTACGTATTATAAGTTATTATTTATAGTTATATATATTTAAATATCTAAGATTTCTTGTATATCTTCTGGCTAATAAGAAGCTATCTAAAGATATTACATAAAGGTACAAGTACTTAAAAGTTCTTGTAAGTCTTCTTTGAAATTATAAACTTCAAGATTCTGCTTAGAATTTAGGCTTAGATCAAACTAGTACAAGATACATATTAAATTGAGATGTTTCTTCAAGTTGAGTTTCTTGCACAGTTCATGTTTCTCTCCATGTTAGAAGAAAAAAACTAAAGCATAAAAGTTTACTTAAAAAAACAAACTCGTAGATATACTGTAAGTTTTACAATAAATATCCTAATTTTATCCTAATCCACATAGATAAGTAAGACATTTATCACATTTTCATTTCTCTGATCTTCACAGCGATTAAGCTACATAAACTATAAGCAGCTGTTGTTTGGAATGATCTATTCCATGTTTATTGCCCAGGGCACATTTTCCCTTACTACAATAATTTCTAATTCATTCCTGTCGTCTGATAACAGCTATAATATTTTCCGAAAAGGAAAAAAAAAAACGCCGAAATTATTAATACAACTAATACGAATGTTATGAAATTATTAAGATTTCACAACATCAATACTAGCGATAAATAAATGTATTATACAAACAGTACAATTACGGCTGATATTAAGACGTTACAAAAATAAAACGGCATGTAAAACGACGCCTGCATTCAAAATACGAGCACGAGGCGGGCGATTTGTCGAAACAGCGACAGATTAAACGACTAAAGATTAATTAATGAAATAATTACCATTGTAACGAATTTCCAAATGACCTTACTCGAGATTCTCTTGAACAACAGAGTCCGAGAAACGGCTTACAAAACGGCGAAGAAGAGTTGAGACAAAACGATCCAAGAATTAGCGCCTGTCTCTTATCACGCCATAAACATAATACGGATAGACAAAACATAGGATATACATCACACCAACGTCACTGAAAAATGGCGATAATATTTTTCCCCTAGAATAGAGTTGCCAAATAACTCTGGACTATTATTGCCACCTGTGAAGCTTTCCAAAAATCACCATTTTCGTTAGTAAATTTCGTCATAATTTTCTCCAACTTATGGAGCTTCTCGTAAACAAAATCGCCATTTGTGAATAAATTTTCGCCATAATAACGCTTTAATAAAAATTCGTTGTTCTTATCAACAAAATCGATAGATTTTAAAATTAAAAAATTAAATTGACGAATATCAAGGGCCAATTTCGATCACGTGATCTATTTTGACGCTAAGGGCGGGTTCACATCTTGACGGAGAGCGGAAGAGCAGTAGCCAATCAGAACTCGCGCTGGTAGTCGACTTTCTGTTAGTTCTATACTACTAGAGCCCTAGATATCAGAGAAGCGCAACCGACGTTCCGCGTCCTGGTTAGCTGACTGTCAGCCAATCATGACAGTCATTCAGTGGTATTAAAAATGGCTGACTATTGGACGATTGGTGGATTTCATATTTCGTCCGCAAACGACGCCATTTTTATTACTTTTCTCAGTAATTTTGCGATACTGACTTAAGCCGGTTGAGCTTCTCTGATATCTAGGACTCTATATACTACTTGCTCCGACGCGAGTTCTGATTGGCTACTGCTTTTCCGCTTTCTTTCCGTCGAGGTGTGAACCCGCCCTAATGTAGGATTCGCAATGCATCCGATGTGCGTCGTACGACGACTCTGCAACCAATCAGAAAAATCTTTATCGCCGATGCGAAGACAAATCCTGTTTTCTGATTGGTTGCAGATTCATCGTACGATGAAAATCGGATGCAGCGTGAATCCCAGCTAAATCCTGTTTTCTGATTGGTTGCAGATTCATCGTACGATGAAAATCGGATGCAGCGTGAATCCAGCATAAGAATGAGCATCGAGCATGAAAAGGCACCTTTAGGAATAATTTCCCAATCTATTAGAAATTGGATATTAGAAGTCGGATATACGGTTTTTAATAAGTTGAAATTATTATTTTTGATTCCTTATTCTTTCTATTGCATATATCTTCACTTTTAATTGATAATTTATTATTATACAATAGTTTAGAAGTACACTTATGTCCACTTTCACTAATGTAGCTTAATTTTAATCTGGGCATAACTTAATTTTAATCCTTCATTCCAAAGACAAAGAAAAAAAAAATACAGTTAACATAAATCTTTCTATCACTGTAGAAAAATTATTCAATTTCGATCGAAGTAATATGAAATTAAACCGCAATAACGGTATGAAGAAACCAAACGTTCGTGACTTCGCGCGCTACCGGCCGTTAATTTACCGGACTTGCGCGTATTTCGCGCATAATCAAGATGGCGGACCGTCAGGAGCATCGGCGAGTGTTTGGGTTGGTGTGAGGTTGCAATTTAACTACGTGCACGACAGCTCCGTTGATTTCTCAAAGGAATAAAGCAAAGCCGTGCTCGATGTGGCGCGAGTTCTGGCCGCGCGCGCTTCTGACGTGCGCGATCGGTGTCTGTTCGATTATCGGTGACGTCGGGTTAAAGTGGCTGAGGAGCGACAAGAACGAGTCGGCGCGCGCGGCGTTCGACAACGCGACGCACGCGACGGTGGGCGGCCTCACGTGGATGTTAATCGTTGTCCTCTCGCGGAAGTCAATTGCCCGCAATCTAAATAGCATATTCTCCTGCTTCTTATTGGCGTCCTTCGTTGATTTGGATCACTTTATCGCGGCGCGCAGTTGGCACATCCATGTAAGTGAAACACAGGTAAAAACATATTCGGAAAGTTAATTCGGAAATCCCGAGTGAGCGATAAGTGGAGAATATATTAAGAACGATGACGATGTAATTATAATATACAGTTTATATATACTTTTTAATAAAGTAGAGTAATTATTAGGGGGTTGCGTTAAGAGCCGCTGTTTTTTTTTTCACATGTATTTGAGCGGAAGAAACAGCGGCTTTTAATGCAACCCCCTAATATATTTAAATAAACTTATTAATATATAATATCAGTTAAAAATTTTCTTTCATTAAATTAAATTTGTACGTTCGCTTTAATTTCAATTTCAATTATATCTTAATTTTTATCTTCAATCTAGAATTTTTATTTCAAATTTAATTATACAAAAATATTTAACATTTAAAGTACAACAAAATTTTTTAATCATCTTTTAATGTAATGAAATTATTAAAACAAATGTTATCAAATTGAGTTTCTGAAAAAATTGTATATGTAGTAATTGTAAATATTAAATAATAAAAAAAGAAGAAATTTGTAATTTTTAATTTATAATTTATAACTTTTATCTCTCAAGAAAAGTTGTCAGTGTAACTAGAAAAATCACAAATTTGTGGAAATGTCTAAAAATATTATTTTATTTCATTATATTTTTGCAGGATGCCACGCATTTACAAAAACGGCCCTTCCTGCATTGCACTACCATTCCTCTTTTACTGTGGACATTTTTTATCTTACTCTCCAACACCTTCCACTCTCCTCTAATGGAACACATTTCCTGGGTGATATTGGCCGCCTTCTTGAGTCACCACATACGAGACGGTACCAGAAGAGGTTTGTGGTTTTGTCCCTTCGGGTCTACCCGTCCTATTCCTTACTACTTATACGTAAGTCTTTCTATGTCCCTTCCTTACATATTACATTGGCTTATGAGCCTACACACATTTGCGCCGAAGAATGATAACAATCTTGTATCCATTGATGTATGAGGCATATTTTTGAACACGCATATTGCAATACTGAGTATACAAACAGACACCTTTTGAAAGGTGTATGTACGAGAGCTATTATTTAAGTTGCTTTCCAGTAAGATACTCAGATGACACGATATAATACAGTGAATCATTACATCCTTATTTGCTAAAACAAATATGACATGATCGCTGTATCATGCTGTCATTTGATAGAAAGCACCATTAATTGATAACTTGTACAGTGTCTTAGGAATATTGATATTCCTAGTTTATAAAATCGATGCTGAGGAAAGAAAAATCTGAAGTTATAAGATTAACTTCTCTGGAAGAAATAGATATGAAAATATTTTTTATTGAATTAAATACTTAATTTTAATTTTAAAATTAATTATTTAAGAAGACAGTTTTAATGATACAAATTAGATGTCTTTCAGTTAAGTTTTATAATAGTGAGAGAGAGAGAGAGAGAGAGAGAGAGAGAGAGAGAGAGAGAGAGAGAATGATCAATGTCATTATAACGCATTTTATTTATTCAAATAAAATGTTTCTCCGACAATATTTATTAAGAAAAAAATATAAATCAAAATAAAAGATTCCTATAGTATAAAATATTAATATTTTCGAAACGTTATTATTAGGATTTGTATAGATTGTTTTATATACTTTTATATATTAAATATATGCACATGTACATACATAATATTACTTAATGATCTGTATGGTTGATTTTGTATAATCACATGCGGTTGAATGTTTAATAACAATGATATACAATACGTGTGACGACGTTTCATCGTCGCTCGTCTGCGAAAGGGAAAGTGGGAATAAAATTTTTCCGAGTTACGGAATGGCAACTCGGTTTAACACATCCGTGTGCGTATAACGTGTATATATATTTACAACTGCAACATGCCGTTGCAGCTGTGCGTGGTTTATGGACGGAATCCCACGTGCGTTTGTTTGGCACGTTCGATACACCGTACACTTTTTTGCTTTTCCCTGACACACTCAGTTACTTGGAAATATTCTCAGCGCCTGCAGGAATATAACTTTATGATCAATAATAATCAATAGAACTGTTTAACGCTCTTATGTTAATAACAATTATATGCAAAGTGTGACTTTTATACTCTCATCTCTATTTTTAAATGTCTCATTCTTACGCACTTTAAAGCGAATCGTTCCTATTTTTTCCCGAAACTATTCGATCCTGTTACGCTAATTATTTAGCTGAAATTTTATCTTTTTTATTGACATACTCGATACTAGTATTTGACTGACTATTATAGAAATCAAATCGTTTTAAGCCCGATATGACGATTTTACTAAAGTATCTAAAAATTTAGCAAGACATATATACAGATTATTTCTGAAAATAAGTATGGACCATCAAATATAAAAATATTGATGACGCTGTAAACAAATCTTGATTTCAGCGACCAACTTAAACGTCGAAATAATAATTACTTCGACAATATCGTTTTCAGATCTATACAGTGTAGAATCTCTAAATTCGTAGGCACGTCGACAAAACCGTTCTTCTCCCTCCCAACATTATTGGGCGGTATACTCGCGAATTTCAAACGGTCCTCTCATTTCGCCGAAGAATATAATTTGCAAGTATCTTATTCACTTTTATGTAACTTTCATTCGTGATGCATTTGTAAGCGAGTGTTAGCTGAATTATCGATGTGTGGTGAACCAGCAAGAATTATCGGGGTATTATGCAACCGAGAATACCTGCCTAGGTGCAGGACACCACGCAGAGACTCGTCTCTGTGGGTGAGGGCGCGGAGGGAGGCCGCATGGATGCCCCTGGCTGCGGTGAGACGCAGGTTGCACACGTGTGTACACACGCCCGCTGGAAGGGGTTTATCAGCACTCGGCGTTGCTTAGCTGGCACTGTCGGCTTCACTTCACCTCGCTCTGACTTAGTACTCGTTTAACTAGCCGGTCGTGCCGCGCACCTGTCGGACAAAGATCACCAAACCAAGTTCGATTGCGACGAAGAACTCGTCGCACGGCGATTCGGGAATCGCTATTGTGCTGTCCTATAGTTCTATCCCTCGCCATCTCATTTCTCTTCTTTTTCATTTTTGTTTAGAACCCGAATAGCAATTTTCTTGATTGTCACTATTTATTATTGGATCGACAATCGCTGTAGCGTTAGGTCCTCTCGTGCGATTTCCTCCGAATGAAACCCTCTTCGCAATTGAGAACTGCGAATGCCCTGACTGGAATCTACCAATATTTTGGAAATCATGTCATCACGTTCTGATAAGTACATGCAGATTACGATAACACACTGATACCGCCAGTGTCTTGAGCAAGCGTGATATCTTATATCGATAACGCCGCTATCAAGGCATGACAAGACCGGTGTTCGTCGATTCGGCTGGTTGATTCGTACACAAGATGGTAAGTAACACACGGTATGTGTTCTCCCACTTTTGGTGTTTACGTATACCTATCTCTAGAATGATTCCGAGGTCGATCGTACGGTCCCTGACCGCAAATTGTCCCCGCAAATATACGCTCAAGGTATCACGTGCAACAGTTTCTCTCTTTCCTTTT